CCCTGCTGCACTGTCACATTGAGAGCCTGCCTACCCATAATCCCCTGAAATGGTGGGGAAAGCTGCCCCAGAGGCTCGGTCAGCCCTGTCTACTACTTAGCTGGACCTGCCAACTCTTACATCTGAGAACAGCCAGGAAACCCATCCACCGTGAGGATGTTGGCCTCTGAATAGCAGCGAGGTGGCCCTGTTCACCAAACTCAACCAAGAAAAGGAGCCGGGTGGTCCTCAACCATAAAGCCTTGCAAAGGCGTTCAAGTGGCCTTTGGACAGAAAAGACTCCACCTTCCTGGCCCCTAACACTACATGGCCTATGTGAATTTGTTCTCACTCTTATGGGTGCTGCACTGCGCCTGTCTGGGCCCCTGCAGTGACTGACCAGTGGCTGTCCTGTTCCTGGTACCGTATACTGCTCTGTCGGAGTGATCCTATCCCAGTGTGGCCTGTGGAGACAGAAGGCCTCCTTTGCCCTATTACTACACACCCTGCACCCAAAGTCAGCAGCTGCAGCTAAAGAAGCTATACAGAGATGAGTCTACTGTGTCCAGTTAAAGCCCACATCAAGGCAATCAACCGAAAAGATACTCTAAGATGCATCTTCAGGAAAAAGTCTTTTACTAGAAGGCCACCCTATAAAACCCATAGAGATAACATATCAGATGTCCAAATGCTATTTATTGACACCTGAACCATCCTAAAGCAATTAGCAGGGTGTCTCAAAAGAAACACAGTAACTCCAGGAAACCACAACAGGAAAAGGACATTGATAAGGTGCCCAAAAATCATTCCAAGTAAGACGCCTAAGGAAACGTTTCAGGATCCAAAGGAACAGAAAGTTCAACGACACCAGGAAGGCAATTCATGATCTGAATTAAAAATTGAGCACAGAGATGAGATCATGAAAAACAGAACCAGATTGAAATCTCAGAGCTGAAGAATTCCATAGATCATATTTAAAAACAAAAGTCTAGCTGACAACCTCAATAACAGCCTAGATCAAGCAGTAAGAGTTTCTGAACCTTAAGATTTGTTCTTTGAAAATAACCTGAATCATGCAACCACCTCCAATATGCCAAGAAAAAATGGGATACAGTGAGAATTATGGGATTCAGATTTTTTCTGGGGAGCACTACAAAGTGGTGACTCAGAAAAAATATGCAGAGAAACCCAAAACCAAGCAGACATTCAGAGATCAGCTTGGGCAAGAAACCTCTACCCCAGTACAGTATTTCTAGAAAAATCCGAGGCTTATCATTCACTGGGGTTAACCACAGAAACAGCAAATTTAGACTCCAACTTGAGAGTGATTCCCTCTACCACCGTCTGAACAAGAGATTTTATTCCATTACTAGGAGGAATTTTAAATTGGTGGAAGAGAAAGCCAGAAGTGAGCAGAGGATATTGGAATG